CCCAAGAGGAGAATGGAGGAGAAGGGATTGCAGCGTGGCCATCCCCCCCGGGGGGTGATTTCTCACTTTCTGTCTCTTTGTCTCTGTCTGTCTGGCGAGCACACATGCCCTATAGCAAAAACTTCTCCCCCCCAAAAAAAGAGAAAGAAACAAATATAATTTAATTTAAAAATAAAGTGAAATACAATAATGTATTAAAAAAAGGAAATGAAAATGCATGTACCTGGGCTAGTAATAATGTTTGTCTTAAGATAAAGTTTTGGTTTGATTATATTAAAAAGTGAATGAGAGACCAGCAGTTAGCGTAATGGCTTTGTTGCTGGACTCCCACATAGTTGACCACGGTTCGAGTCCCGGACCCGGCGGATTAAACTCACGCCAGGTGCGTGTGCGTGCGTGCCCAAGATCCTGAGAGGAGAATGGAGGAGAAGGGATTGCGGCGTGACCATCTCCCCTGGGGGGTGATTTCTCGCTTTCTATCTCTTGTCTCTCTCTCTCTCTCTCTTTCTGGCAAGCGCAAGCGCCCTGTAGCAAAAACCTCTCCAAAAAAAAAAAATAAAAGTGAATGAGGGGCCAGCAGGTGGTGTGGTGGTTAAGGAGCTGGACACTCCCACATGGCCAACCGCAGTTTGAGTCCCAGACCTGGTGGCTTACTTTCTCACTTTCCCTCTCTCCTTCTCTCCCTCTCTCTCTCTCTCTGTGTGTCTATCTCTGGTCAAATTAAAACAAATGAATTAATACATAAAATTAAATAAAGAATAATTTTTTAAAAAGTGAATGATTGGGACCAGCATATGGTGTGGTGGTTAAGGCACTGGATATTCCACATGGCCAACCACAGTTCTAGTCCTGGACTTGGTGTCTTTTTTCTCACTCTCTCTCTGGTCAAATTAAAATAAGTGAGAATAAATAAATCTTTTTTTAAAAAGTGAATGGGGTCCAACAGGTGGCCTGGTGGTTAAAGATGCTGGATTCCCACATGGCAAACCACAGTTCAAGTCCCAGACCTGGTTTCTTTCTTTCCCTTTTTCTCTCTCTCTTGTCAAATTAAAAACCAATAACAGTTCAAATTAAATAAATAATAATTCTTTTTCTTTTAAAAAAAAGTGAATGATTAAATTCTTTAGAGGAAGATGCTATACAAATTTGTTTAATAAATCACATCTGAATTTTTTCTTTTGGAAATATTAGCAAGAAGGCTCACTTTGTGCTCAGCATTGCCTGAATAATCTGTTGCAAGGAGAATATTTTAGCCCAATAACAGTTCAAATTAAATAAATAATAATTCTTTTTCTTTTAAAAAAAAGTGAATGATTAAATTCTTTAGAGGAAGATGCTATACAAATTTGTTTAATAAATCACATCTGAATTTTTTCTTTTGGAAATATTAGCAAGAAGGCTCACTTTGTGCTCAGCATTGCCTGAATAATCTGTTGCAAGGAGAATATTTTAGCCCTGTGGAATTATCCTCAATTGCACATCAGCTAGATGAAGAAGAGAGGATGAGAATGGCAGAAGGAGGAGTCACTAGTGAAGACTATCGCACATTTTTACAGGTACTTATTTTAAGCTAAGTCACACTTTTTTAAAATGTAAGTACTATTTAGAAAAGGATGTGCCATTATTTCCGCAGGAATCTAACTTGCTAATTGCAGCCTTGCTCTTCCTTTGTAGATAGGAATGCACAAGATGCTGTTTTAAATATGTTCACTAATGACCTTTTTTTCC